GTAGTAGTAGTAGTAGTAGTAGTAGTGGTAGTGGTAGTAGTAGTAGGAGTAGGAGTAGGAGTAGGAGTAGTAGGAGTAGGAGGAGGACGAGGAGGAGCAGGAGAGCAATAATAACACTAGCATTAGCAAGAATAATTTGGCATAAGGTTGACAGTGGCTGTGACAACTCACAGGGACATCTGCACAGTGATGCTGTGCGATTTCGAGTTTTTAAATAATCATCAAAGCTTCGAAGCGCGATGTCACAATTCGTGCAACTCGAATACCGTGAGTGAATAGTTTTCTTTTTATACCTGTACATGTAGGTCTAAGGCGAAGCCTTATGCGGCGAGTCCATCAGCAGCATTCTTTATTGAACATTCACTATTCACCCCCACGGAACTATTCATCCAGTGATTCTCGTTCTCAGCTCAGTGTGTGTCTGCCTCTTTACGTATAGCCCCGTCGGCTTGCGCATCGCGAGCGGTGATGAAGCAACAGTTTTTTTAAAACTTTTTTTAAAAGTAAAGAACAAAAAGGCGACTTTTGCAGAGGGAGAGGGGAGAGGGGGGATGATAAAAACATGCGACCACTCGGGCCAGTAACGTGTAAGTCATTTGTTGATTCTGAAGTAAGAGGGCGGAGTAATCATGTGTGTATACACTTGTTTGTACTTTATGTAGGAATTATGTTACTCGTTTTGATCAGGAAACCAGTAGACTAACTAATAATAACAACAGTATTAGCTTATCCGTCAATGTCTGACGATCATCAGCGCATCTGCAGAGAAGAGTTACTTCTCCAAGAGGAATGGAAGAAAGAAGGCTTAAGATGACTTGTGGGTTCTGCTATGGTGTAAGGGACAAATACATTTTGACAGGGAAAAAGTTGACCAAGTTTGAGCCTTTTCCCTTTGTGAAAGAACAAAGACTGTGGTGAACTAAAGTAAAGATGTTCCCGCATCCGGTCCGGACATTGAGGATTGCCTTGTTAGTGAGACAACTTCCTGAGCATTCGGCATATTGTGGTAGGGTGGCCAGTTCCTTTCCACGCCGTCTTTACTTCCCCAACTCGAAGTCAGGAACCCATTACTGCTGGGTGGGCAGGAGGGGGTGAAAAAAAATCGGTGTCCGAACTGAGGCTCGAATCCGACTTTCCGCTTCGAATAGGAGCGCACTAACCGCTCCTCCACTGCACCCTAGGTGGTAAACTAGGTAGTAATAAATTAGCATGCCAATATGAACCTGTAAGGGTCAAGTTGTATGAGTTTCCGGCTCCAGTTCCCATACCCCAGTGATGACAATATCAGAAAAGGAGAGGAGTGCGAAATGTTCTGACGTTCATTAATGTGGTGATACCATCTTTTTGTAAGATTTCTTAACGTTTTTTTTTTAGCTGAGTTGACAAGACGACTAAAAAAAAAAAAGCAGCAATAACAACAAACAAGGGGCATGCGAAAATCCGAATGACAAAAACCACACCAAGGTTGAGTAAAACTTATTTATTATGCAATAATGTATGTGCCTATTTTTTAAAGGAAAATCTACGTAAGGGGGGTAACAAGCATGGTCCTTGTTGTACATGGAGTTGTCTAGTTTGTTCCCTTGTCTGTTTTGCCCACGTTCAGTTTGCCGTTGCCTTTCAGAACGTTGGCACGTACGACAGCTATGAAATCTGACTCAGATGGATGG